TGCCAACAAACAATTTTGTTGAAAGCAGGTAGCTTTAATATTCTTCATTTCTGATGATTCTTGTATAGTAATTGTTATCACTTATAATTTATAATCACAATTCTGTTTCTTTTTTTTTTTTTTTTTTTTATTCTGTAAAAAATACAGTTTCTGGAATTTTGATGCACTTTTCCAACCTCAACAACACCCTGCACGTGATTCACATGACACTTTCTTTTTACGAGGTATATTTAAACTATTATTTTTTATTTTTAAAACTCTAATGCTGACATGGCAATCATGTATGTAGAACCTTCTACCACAAAGACTCTTCCGGAAGATTATGTTGAGAGGGTGAAGCAAATTCATGAGTCTGGAGGTCATGGATCAAGAGGGTATTCCATCTTATAAAATATATTATTATTTTTATTGTTAGTAATATTTGTATCTAATAAATATAGTGACATTTCTTTTGTAGATATGGATATGATTGGAAAAGGGAAGAAGCAAATAAAAACTTATTAAGAACTCACACAACTGCAGTCTCATCAAGGATGTTGTATGCACTTGCACAGGTTTTATTTCAACATCATTTTTATATATTTTTTATTTTGTGAAGTTTTTATGTAAATAAATTTATCAAGTGTTATATATTTTGCAGAAACCTTTTGAGGCAAAAAAGTATTATTCTGTTGATCGGGTTTTCAGAAATGAAGCTGTTGACAGGACACATCTTGCAGAGTTTCATCAAATAGAAGGTACATTTGTTTCTCATTTGTGAATATCATTTTTTTTTTTTAATTTCTTGTAGGTATAAATATTAAATCATGAATATTAACATTGGTTTTATTTCTGGTTTTAGGGCTAATTTGTGATAGAGGGCTTACTCTTGGGGATTTGCAGGGTGTGTTGTATGACTTCTTCTCCCGTTTGGGTAACATCTCTTTCTTGTTATTTTATATGATTATATTAACAATTTTATTTTTTGTGTAAAAAAATATTAATTTTATTATAACTTGATAGGGGTTTAATGAACTTTCATTTTTTATTGATACAGGAATGTCCAAGTTGCGTTTCAAACCTGCATACAATCCATACACTGAACCCAGCATGGAAATATTTGGGTAAGAAATAATCATAATTTCTATTTCAATTAATAACTTGAATAATTATTATTTTTATATGAAGAATTTTTTTTATTATCTATTGTTGCAGTTATCATGAAGGATTCAAGAAATGGGTTGAAATTGGAAATTCTGGGATGTTTAGACCTGAAATGTTGCTTCCAATGGGATTTCCTGAGGATGTTAGAGTTATTGCTTGGGGTCTTTCTTTAGAAAGGTATGTGTAAATATATACTTTTTTTTTTTTTTAAAATATGATTTCTCAAAGTTTTATGCATTTCACCAGGCCAACTATGATACTTTATGGAATTGATAACATCAGAGATCTCTTTGGGCACAAGGTATGTGTAATTTCTTTATAAATCATTAAAAAAATAAATTTCTACAGATTTAAAAGCTTGATCTGGTTTTCATTTGTGTTATTTACAGGTGGACCTTGGTCTGATTAAGAGCAACCCTATATGCCGGATTGGCTTGAATTAAGAGTTCTATATACTAATTTATGTACACGATACCCATGTTTATGATTGTTTTGGTTGTTTGCTTGTTGCTTTGATTTTGTTGAAGACATTGAATGGTCAAATTTACTATACTAGTTTTTTTAGTCTTTATTATGAAATCGGGTATACGACACAATTTTTTTGTAATCCCAAATTATTTATTTCAGTTGTCTCATTTGACTTTATTCTACAGCAACCGAACACTGTGTGTGTAAAGTGGTGGTGTTTCTTTTTGACTAAATTGAAATAGTGAGGACAAGCATGCGACGCTTGGTCAGAAATGATTATTACAACTTAAATAGACAAATATGTCCGAACATTATATTTTACATCATCAGTTCTTATAATTGATTACCTGTTTTTGGTTGAGTGGCCTCTTTAAATAGACAACATATAAAAATCCCTATTGGTTTGTGGCATACACCATGAAACTATAGGAGAGAGGGTTGGAGAGGAGGTTGCAATCAATGGTGGATCTATAACAAAATGTTAGGGGTAGCATACAGGAAATATTGCATTATACCAAAAAAATTCTCAAAAAATAGAGGGTAGCACGGGATCAAGGTTGCAACGTGAAACAAGTCGGGACATGCATATGATGTTAACGGACCTTGTGAATACATATATGATATTATATTGCATGAGAGAATTTGGAAGATATAGGTTCCAAGGAGATTTTTTCATGGCTATTCACAATATGCATTGGCTTGCTTTAATTTGGAGTCCCCCAATGAAAGAAAAAGGGTTGCAAATATATACAATCAAGATGGAACACCTTCAGTGCAATTTCAGCAAGATACATAATAATGAATAAGTGGAAGTATGTATTGGGGAACATGTACTACATCCAAACGAAAGTTTCAGTCACTTGATCTTTATGATCTCATGTAAAGGAAAGTAAATGACAAAGTTACCCACCGTATAAAGGCATGATGACCTGATCACAAGAGGATTATATGAGTAAAGTGCTCTTTTGAAATTAAAGAGAAAATTTTACAAATGATGGTTAGGACAACTATGTTATGTAAAACCCTGAATGAACGGCTGATAAATATAGAGCATGAGATGAAGATGGAAATAGAGAAAATGTGAATACTAAGGTGGAAATACGGTTAAAAAATGTTGGACAGAATAAAATGTGATAATTAGAAATAAGTTGGAAGTCACGTTTATCCTACCATACATCCCAACCTTATAAGAATCAATACTTGTATCTAATGATTACTTAATATCATATCCATATTCTAATTCTATTCTAATTTCTAATAAAATAATAGATTTATCCTCCTTGTCATGCGTCACCCTATAAGCCTCCTAATTAATGTAATTCTAGTTGTTAACATATTGATTCTTCATTTCAAATTTCAAATTTTAAACTTTCCATTCTAATTACATTAAATTAATAACATTAGAATAAAAATTAAAATAATATCAATACAGATTATAAGGTGATATAATTTCATGTATTTATTTAAATCAACGATTATAATTTTATATAACTAAAAATATCTCTTAGTTAATAATTTATTTAAAATAATTGATTAATAATTTTGAGTTTTTACTATGAAAGTTTAATTAATTTTATAATCGTGGTTTCCACGGGTTATAAACTAGTAATCATATATTCACAACCTACATCCAACTACCTCTTAAAGAGAACAAGTTTTTTTTTTTTTTTTTTTTTTTTTCTAAAGCTTAATAGAGAAATGGATAATAATGCTCACATCCCTCTATTTTTATGAGCTATTTTACTTAGGGCGTGTTCGGCACGGAGCATTTGGGAGCGTTTGAGAGTTTCTAGCTTCTAGCATACAAAACGCTCAAATCCAAATGCTACTTCATGTAGCGTTTAACAAAACGCTACAAACTACAAGCTACCCGCTACCAGCTAATTTTGCCGAAAACGCCATTATTGCAAAACTTATTTTCATGTTAGTCATGTACTAGTATGCAATATGCATGACCCAAAAATAAAAAGTATTTAGTACTAGTATGCAATATGCATGACCCAAAAATAAAAAGTATTTAGTACTAGTATGCAATATGCATGACCCAAAAATAAAAAGTATTTATATGCATACTTATTGACATTCGAGTGTTTTATTAGATACTGTATTGCTTTTCAATGATGATACTTTAAGATTTAAATGAAACATTAATCTTCGGTAAAGGTTTTCTCTTGTAGATTTACAAGAATTTGTACATCAACTTATTAACGATAATTATCTCGATTTTGGACAAAATAATTTAACCTATCAACTGAGGCCAACGTTGATTCATGAGGAACCCTTCTTTAAAATTCTTAAAATTTAAATAATTTTACATATCATTGGAAATTCTTTAAATGATAATCTATTTATAGAAAGAAAATGAACAAAATTCCACTTTAGGAGCTATAGTGTAACTTATATGGAGTTTTAATTGCAAATTTGGAAAGAAACCAAACATAGGGTTTTCAATATTATATGAATGTATTTAATGTATCACAGGGTAAATATATGAATGAAAAGTTCTTGGGTAATGTATTTATTGTATCATAGAGTTTTCAGTTTGGTTTTTATTCTTACGGTGGTCTCTTTGATTTTATGGAATCTTGATAATATACGAATATACATTTTAGGGGTTATTTATATTTTTTTTTTGCATGATATATTACCAATTTAATAATTCATGCAATATATATTTTAACAATTTAATGTAACACACAATTATCAATTTTCTCACAAGTGTGAAATGTTGAATTTGTGTATCAACCGGATAAATTTTAAGAAAATGATAAGTTTGTTATATTAATTGGTTTAAATGCTTTCATTAATTAGTAAAATGGCGAAAATGTATTGTGTTTTATGCGATCAAATGTGGTTGTATTTACGTTACAATGTTGAAGAAGATGATCTTGTTGATGCTTGCAGAGTTGTCAAAATAGGTTGCGGTTGCCTTTAGAAACAACTATCGAAACATTTTATACATTGTCTTATAGTTTCGGTTTTCATTTTAACCTTATTTGATCACTATATCAACATTTCAAATTATTTAAAATGGCATCATATACGTCTAAGCTTTCTAAACATTTGCCAACATCCTATTACATCAAATTTTGATTTAAACCCCGTTTCGATTTATAAGAGTAATTGAGTCACATAACTTTCTATATTGGTAATGAGATAAAAAGTAAAAGCAAGATATATAACATAAATAACTAGATTGTAAAGAATCATTAGAAGCTATAACTAAATATTACTTTTGGATCCAGAAAAGTCTTGATTTAAGTTTCTTGTATGAAAAGATTTTTTATTTTAAGGATGAATAGATGAAATATGGAAATAAACAAAAAGAAAAAAACGAAGCTTCACGTATAAAGTATAAACCCTTGGGGGCTTAATAAAGCAAAAAGGCATAATCTTGAATCTTCTAACAAAAACCCTTGAGCGACAACACTTCTTTGAGCCCTTTCACCGCAACTTTCTCACCAAAATCAATCTGTATAACGATTTGGAGCTGTTCTAGAAATTTGATTGTGTCAATGGCGGGAGGCGCATCTGCTGCCAACTCCACGAACAGCGTTCGGATCGTTGTTGCCGGTGATCGTGGCACCGGTAAGTCCAGCTTGATTATCACTGCTGCCGCGGAGGCTTTTCCTGCAAATGTTCCTCCGGTGTTGCCCCCTACCAGGTTGCCGGAAGATATGTTCCCTGATCGTGTCCCCGTTACAGTCATTGATACGTCGTCCAGGTATTCTCCATTTTATTTCAACAAAAGATACATTCTGTATGGGGAAAGCAGTAATTTTCATGGAATTGATGTGCGATTGAAAGTGATTACATGCTATTGAATAATCAAGACAATCCGATGCAATGAAACTGTTTTAGGAGATGATGTTTGGATATGGTTATGAGTTTTTTTGTTATTCCAGTTTGGAGAATAGAGGCAAACTTGCTGATGAACTGAAGAGAGCTGATGCTGTTGTCCTTACCTATGCTTGTGATCAGCCTGCTACACTTGATCGATTGAGTACTTTCTGGCTTCCTGAACTTCGAAGATTAGAGGTAACTAGAAAATACATTAAAAAATCTTTAACCTTTTTATCACATTGTAGAACATTTATAGGTTGTTTTCTTGTATAAGTGGTGAATTGGGGATCAACCTTGATAAGAGTTTTCCTTTCATGGAAATATGGATTAAAGGGAATAGTAGTAATTGCTTGATGGGTTAATTGTAACATTGTAATTACATCAGAACACAACTGGAAATATGTTATACACATCTTTTTAACAATCTCCTTGAATGGAATTGTTGTTACTCCAACATGAATCAAGAATCATAAGCATGCACACAGCACACAACATTTTGCTATTAGGTGAGCTTTCAAGCATGTTTAATGGTGTAACATTCATGTGCACGAATATAGATTCCTTTTCTTGGAGCTAGATGCAAGGTTTATCATTTAATCACAACAAACATGTCCTAATAACCTTCTAGGAGTGGTTTTCTTTTTTCAAGCTTTGATGTGATTGTGGGAGCTCTTTTATTTGTATAAAGGAAAAACAATAAATATTGTAAAGGAGATACTAAAAAGAATAATTCGGATAATGCCTTACTATATAGACATCTAATATATCAAAAAGATGGAGTTTTTATATTACGTAAAAGAGGAAAAAAGTTCTATGTATAGTATTTTACGTTAACACCTTCACATTCAGTGAAAACATACTTTTTTGCAAGAAAATGTTTCTTAATCTTAACTAATACGACCCTTAAACACATATACAGGTTAAAGTTCCTGTGATAGTAGCAGGTTGTAAGTTGGATCTAAGGGATGAACAACAACCAGTTAGTTTGGAGCAAGTGATGTCACCCATCATGCAACAGTTTCGTGAGATTGAAACATGTATCGAATGTTCAGCCTACAAACATATTCAAGTAAGACACATGACACCTTTTTTTTTTTTAACCTTTTTCACATCTAAATTTTTGTTTGTACTATTATAAATTTGTTAACTTTTAATGTTTTTTCCTCTTTTTTCAGATCCCAGAGGTTTTCTACTACGCCCAGAAAGCCGTTCTTCATCCAACTGCTCCACTATTTGATCAAGAAGCACAAACTTTGAAACCACGATGTGTTAGGGCTTTAAAAAGAATATTTATTCTTTGTGATAATGATAGAGATGGAGCTTTAAGTGATGCAGAGTTGAATGATTTTCAGGTTATATTATATATATAATTTTTGTATGTTGCAATATTAAATTATCTATGTATGATTGCTTAATTCGTTTCCTATTTTTATATGATTTTGAATAGGTGAAATGTTTTAATGCACCATTGCAACCTTCAGAAATAGTGGGTGTAAAAAGAGTAGTACAAGAGAAGCTTCCGGAAGGAGTTAATGAAAATGGGCTTACCTTAACAGGCTTCCTTTTCCTTCATGCATTATTTATTGAAAAAGGTCGATTAGAGACAACATGGACTGTTTTAAGAAAATTTGGTTACAATAATGATATAAGACTTTCCGATGATCAGCTTCTCCCTCCAATTAAAAGAACCCCTGATCAGGTAAATATTTTTTAAATAAAATAATTTATGTTCTAGTTTTAATATAATATAATATTATTGTTATTTTGTATTCTGTAGAGTGTGGAGCTGACGAGTGAAGCTTTGGAATTTTTGAAAGGAGTTTTTACCTTGTTTGACATCGATGGTGTATGTTCTTGAATCTTTTTCTTTATTTGAATATTTCAATAAATTGAAAATGTTTAATTATTTATTTTTAATATCAGGATGGGGCACTTAATGCACATGAGCTAGAGGATGTTTTTTCTACTGCACCAGAAAGGTACTGTAATTGTTTTTAAAGTTACATGATTCCACTGTTTTTGTTGTTTTGAGTAAGCTACATAAATGGTCCCTGTGCTTTTTATTTTTACCTTTTTTTAGTCCAAATTTGAAACCTTTTTCAGTTTTGGTTTTTTATCACAAAGTTTCATATTGATCTTGGTCCATGGAACTTTGAAATAAGGACCAAAACTGATATGAAACCTTGAAACAAGGAGCGAAATTGAGAAAATGTTTCAAATTTGGACTAAACATGGTTAAAATCATAAAACACGAGGATCATTGTTGTAACTTACTCTATTCTTTTGTTTTGCTATGTTTTTCTTTATGTTTTTAAATGAGAGGGAATCAATGATCTATATGTATTTATCTTTTCACATTCAAAATTTGAATTTGCAAAATTACAATGCAGTCCTTGGAGTGAAGCTCCATTTGCAGTTGCAGCTGAGAGAAATGCATTGGGAGGGTTATCACTCGATGGGTTTTTATCAAAGGTATATATATAATTATTTTACTAATTAAATTTTATATATCTGGTTATTTTTATTAATTTTTGCTGAAAATTTATGCAGTGGGCTCTTATGACATTTCTAAACCCTGTTATCAGTGTTGAGAACCTCATATACATTGGATATTCTGGTGATCCTTCTTCTGCAGTCAAACTTACCCAAAGAAGAAGAGTTGACCGCAAGAAGCAACAGACAGACAGAAGTGTTTTCCAGTGCTTTGTTTTTGGACCAAAAGAGGCCGGAAAATCTACATTGTTGCATGCTTTTGTTGGAAGGTTTTTATTTTAACCAACTAAAATAAACTTGTTTGTGTATTTTTATTGATTCTCATAATATTATCTTCTATTTTTTTTTTCACACAGACCGTTTACTGACGTTTATACTCCAACTCCAGCCACCGAGGAACGCTATACTGTTAATATTGTTGATCAGCCGGATGTAAGTACATTTAATTTTGTCATCACTGTCCTTTTTTTTTTTTTTTTTTTGAGTAAATCACATTTTTGGTTCCTGAGTATAGCTGAATTTTTCACTTGTGGCTTAAAATGTTTTCTCTTGCTATATGTAGTAGTCGTTTTACTTGGAACATAACCAAAAACGCTATAAGAACCTCAAATAAGGATCAAAACAGCAAAATAAATCTTTTTGGGATCAAAATTTCAAGAATCAGTTATACTCAAGGACCAAAAATAGTCATTTTACTTGGAACATGGACCAAAAACGCTATAAGAATCTCAAATAAGGACCAAAATTGCAAGAGAGATATTTTTGGAACCAAAATTGCAAAAACCCGATATTCTTAGGGACCAAAATTGTTATTTACTCCGTAATATTAGACCTGGCAATTCGTGTCAGCCACGAATTTGGCACGATACAATTACACGATGAGAAATAAGCTTTATCTTAATTTTTAAGATGTATTCGTGTCGTGTCGTGTCTCTCACAGATTCGTGTATTCGTGTCTGAAATTGCCCAGGTCTACGTAATATATGTTATTCAAATATGAAATGTATTTCTTTGAGTAAACTACATTTTTTTTCCTCGAGCATTTTGCAAATTTGGTCCCAGACGTTCTCTTACAAATTTGATCATTATTTGAGGTTTTTGTAACTTGTTTCAAGAAAATGACTTTTTTTTTGGGACCAAACCTGAAAAAATTAGCTATACTCAGTTTTATGTAGAACAGGGACAAAAAATGTCACAAGAACTTCAAATGAGGACCAAAATTGCAGGAGGAAACTCTTTGGGACCAAAATTGCATAAATCAGCTATACTCAGGGACCAAAGATGTAATTTCCTCTATTTATGTTTCCATTATTTTACAGGGAACTAGAAAAACATTGATTTTGCGAGAGATACCCGAAGATGCAGTTGGAAAGTTGCTGATTCATAAAGATGCTTTGGCAGCCTGTGACATAGCAGTTTTTGTTCATGACAGGTAACTTTTCTGTTATTCTGTATTTTCCTTTTTTTTTTTTTTTTAAATTCAAAACAGGGGCATTTTTGTCTTATTTTCCTCCTTTTTCATCTAGTTCAAGCGAGGCATCATGGACAAAAGCAACAGAGTTGCTTGTTCAAGTAGCCAGCCATGGGGAATCTACAGGGTACGAGGTTCCTTGTCTTATTGTTGCAGCTAAGGATGACCTGGAACCTTATCCAACCGCAATACAAGATTCAACAAGGGTATAATAATACATAATACATCCTTCTCTATTAACTCATTCTTTATGTAATAAATTTAAAAAGAAAGAAGACTATTTGTATTTGGTTTTGTAGGTGAGCCAAGATATGGGAATAGAGGCTCCTATACCTATAAGCACAAGATTGGGAGACTTTAATAATGTATACAGGAGAATTGTGAGAGCAGCTGAACATCCTCATTTGAGCATTCCAGAAACTGAAGCTGGGAAAACTCGAAAACATTATCACAGGCTTCTTAATCGTTCCCTTATGGTTGTTTCAGGTAATGTTGTCTGTATAAACTTCTTTTCGTATTAAGTCAAAAAAAAAAGTTAATAATTGATATATGTATTTTGTGTTTGAAGTGGGAGCTGCGGTTGGAATAGTTGGGCTAGCTGCATACCGGGTTTATGCTACAAGGAAGAATGCTTCGGGTTAGAGGAAATGATGCTCACTACAACACATAAAGGACTGTTCAACTCGTACTCTAGAAGTTTAAATCACAATACTGACTTTGGATTTGAGTTTGTGTGTGTTTTTTTTAATATATATTTTTATATATTTCTGTTTTCATAGATGTGTAAAGAATGTGATGGTAGATCTGTTTGTGACTTGTTGAGATGGTCCTAAATTTTTTGCTGGTGGTGGTGTTTGTCTGGCAATGTGATTTCTGGTTGACCACCCTAATCCCGAACCCCTTCCTTGATTTCAAAAACAATAATAACATAAAACAATAATAACATCCAACAAACCGACATCTCGAGTTGATGATTTAAAAAACAAAACAAAATATTTCTGTCTAGGACAAGTAAGAGTATTCTTCTAAATTTTGATGAAAAATAACTATAAAAACCTTTTTTTTTCACTAACCCTGAACTTATAGTCCAATCCCATCAATCGATATTCAATATTATTGCATTTTACTCTTCCAACAGTTTTTAAACTCTAGTTTCTTATTATTTTTAACTAATTAATCTATTTGAACACTCAATAAAATTTCAATTTTATTCTCCAATAAGAGATATTTAATTCGATTACAGGGTTTTTATTGTTTATTATTTTCCTAACTACGTACATAATATTTTTTTTGTTTGTTTATTAGTAAGGACAAGTATTATTTTTTGAACAATAAGATATATGAGAATAAGTTATATATATATAATATATATATATATATATATATATATATATATATATATTTCAAAAAGGTTAACCATTTACATATATTTATGATAATAAGTTTTTATTAAATAAAACTACTTAAAAACAAATATAATATTTAAATGGGTAAATTAATAAAAGATTACAAAAACCTTCGATAGGATATGTTCTAAGGGTTAACTACAGGAAACATGTGTGCTCTTATTTATTTATGTATCGTATCATCTTGATTTTATTTCATTAATATGTCTATTCTACATAGAGCATGTCCAATATAGCTTATTATTTTTACCAGAAGTCCTGTTGATGTTACTATTATTGTATTCTCTTTTTGTTATTTTTTCAACAACATATTTTTCTCAACATTTTAATCTTCTATTATGTAATGACATGTCACACACTCATCTCAATATTATATTCATTCGATTTTTTTTCATATTTTATTTTTTAAAACTTTTTATATTTGACGAATTAATCTATTTTGTTAAATATACAAAATATTTATTATAGTCTTTTATATATTAAAATTGCATGATAGATATATAAAATATAATGTGTTTATAAAAGAACAATATATATATATATATATATATATATATATATATATATATATATATATATATATATAAAAGGTCTTTATAAAATATTTCAAATACAACAACAATACTCTGCTGTTCGACGGCATAGTTTCTTTTTCGTATTTTTGGATTAGAAATGGATCTAAAGTCTGTAATTTTAGTTGGATATGGCGACTGAAAATTCAAGCTATGACTTCTTTAACTTTGTAATTTTTTTTCCTAGCTTCTTGCTAGTTTTATTTAATTTCTGCCGTTCCTAAAAAAGTAACAACAATACCTTCGTCCATATAAATGGGGTTCGAGAATGTTGGATGATGGATAGTCCCTACCATTATATAAAGACTGCTTTCGTAGAAAACCTCCGATAAAACAAGCGAGATAAAAAAAATAATAAGAATAATATTTACAAATTATGTTTCTCTACATACTATCCATGCATATAAAATGTTAACTGAATTTGATCTCTGTGATAAGGTCCGTAATCAAGTTGAATATATAAAAACATTAGAGTGAATACACATGCAGAGAGGATAGAAAAAAACATGGATGGCACACAAATAGTAACGGGGTGTTTGGGATAGTTTTTTAAACAAAAAAGTCATTTTTAGAAAATAACTTTTTGATTAATGTCTTTTTCTAAAAGATAGTTTTAAAACGTGTTTGTTTAAACTTTTGAGGGGGCAAAGGGAAAAAAGGCAAAAGTTGCTAAAAGTCACAATTCGTGACTTCTTAACCCCGACTTTTTTTTTCTTCTCAAAAAGCTATTTTAAAAGATCTTTTCAAGTTATCAAACAACTTTTTAAACTTTTGACTTTTTGGAAAAACCAAAAATCTCAAAAGTCATTTAAAAAACAAAGCCAAACACTCTCTAATAATAGATACAAGAATAAAGCCAAAAGGTGCTACAAACCACGTTATGCTTATAATTATAATAATAATAATAGTAATAATAATAAATAAATAATAAAAATTTAGAATAAGAATAACAATGAAGCTACATCCTATACAACGTGAAAATTACTATGGTACCTTAATTTTACACATTTATTTTTTTCTGTTGGAAGTCATGTCCTCGTTAAGAGCTAAATCCTTATAGTCTAAGCTCATTGTCTTTCTAATTTCCTTCCCGGACGCCTTCTCCTCATCACATTCTTGATTGTGATTGTCTCCACTCTCCTAGAACTCATCACATCCTTGTGGTTGTCTCCACTCTATTAAGAACAACTGTTGGTTGTCTTCTATGTATATGTCTAAACCACCCAACCTTCCTTCTCTTAATTTCTCAAAGATCGATGCTTGGGATGAACAATTTGTACCAAATCTCGATCCCGTATCGGTACTGTACTGAACCGTACCGAATTTAAAAATATGGGACGGTACTCGGTACTCCAAAATCACGAAATTTGGGATTCGGTATCGTCGGTACCGGTACCACTCCTGATACCGGTATCAACAACGTTAATTTGGTTCGGTACTCGGAATTGATATTCGATCAAATTCGGTTTTCGAGAAATCGGAAACGGTACCGGTTCCGTCCCACGCCCATCTCTAATTGACACCACTCTCAACTCATTTCTAATATTCGTGTTAAAATATGTACTTGTTAAAATTAAACTTTTTTAAAAAAAGTTTTTGTATAAGAGATGATATTTATTCATAGATATTCTGAAAAATAAAATAAATGAAAATTCTATTTAGCAAAAGCAAAAATTTATAGAAATATTAACCGCTGGTTATTGGTTATATATATATATATATATATATATATATATATATATTAGTTTCCATGATTAAAGCTCGGTGATTGGATTGTATGATTCTACATATAACGTATAAGGCTGAACGGAGTGGTAGTTACATAGAACTCGAAATGTTGAGGTGACAATGCCATGTCATCGGCACACCAAGCTGTGGTGCCGATATACACAAGAAATTTACCGTCGGCGGTACTCCCTTGCCATTCCCTTTCTTTCCCTTTTCCATATTTTCTTCCATTTTTGCCCTACTCTCTTACAAAATGGTACCAATGGTAAATCCTAAGTGGTGAATTTCGCCTAATTTCTGAGTTTTAGCAAAAAAAAAAAGAGAAAATAAATGAGAAAAAAATTTGTATTTTGTGTTTCCAAGTTGGAGAGAAATAAAAAGAAAATTAAATATTTTGTTATTCTTTCAAAATTTTTCTAAATCGGAAAGAAAGTTAGGAGGGAAAAATGATCCTTCAACTTTTTTCCACTTCTTTCCTTTATGCCCTGTCACCCTGTTCTCGAGTTTTTTTTAAATAAGGAAAGGAGAGGAAAGGGGAGGAAATGAAAGGATAGAGGTGTTCTTGAGTTTTTTTTTTTTTTTTTTTTTTTTTTTTTTTTTTTTTTTAATTAAGGAAAGAAATGAAAGGAAATGAGAGGAAAATGGTGTTCTCGAGTTTCATTTAAGAAAGGAAAGGGAAGGAAACGAGAGGAAAATGTTGTTCTCGAATTTCATTTAAGAAAGGAAAGAAAAGAAAATAGAGGGATTAGGATGGGAAGACAATGCTTATTTTTTAAGTTTTATTTCCTCCCATTTGAGGATGATTGAGAGGAAAACGAAGATATGAAACTCGATAACACCAATTTCTTCTACTTTCCTCCGCATTCCAACCATCCATAAAAAAAAAAAAAAATTTATCGATCCACGATTTACACCCACATAACGCTCCTTACAATGGATTTGACACGAACCCTCGGTCGAAGCCGTTTATCATTTATTTTAATAGTTTTTGGTAGATAGGGTATAATTTGATAGATTGTATAAAATATAATGAAAAAATAAAAATAGGGATAGACGAGCTATAAAATTGGTTTTGGTATGAATATTTTGGCAATGTGGAGGGAGAACAGAATTTGGGCAAAGAAGAGGAAATGGAAGAGAAGGACAATCAGAATCCAAAAAACAGTTCATCGTCGTCGTTCGTGATCAAGATACCCTCATACGAAGAAGTTATTCAGAGTTCTCAATCGAAAACCCCTCCCCAGTCTCTTTTCAATCCTTCTCAGTCCTTCTCTCAGGCCTTCAACTCCATTAAGAACACCGAGTTTTACGCTCCACCTCCACCTCCTTCCTCCTCTTCAATTCCAAGGTAGCTGTGTTAATCGTTTCATGCATTTTCTTATCTATGATTTTAGCTAATGTTGCATAAAATTAGGGCTTTTTTTCTTTTGTCAGGGGAATTCAACCATCTGGGGTTGATGCTACTCCGTCTTCGCCGTCGCCACCGGTTGCAACTGCACGTTCTACCGGAGCATCTTCGTCTTCTACGCCAAGCCGCAACGCAATACTTGTTAGTCATAGACAGGTGAGATACTTCGATATAAAAGCCCACTCTTTTGCTGCAACTGCCATTTTTTAATTTCATTGGCTTCTTGTGCGTAATCATGATGTCGATTTTATGATTGTATTAGGGTTTTTTACTTTACTTATATCATCCACACCGCCTTTATGTACTGATTTGCATCTATTTTTTCTTTTTTTGTTTACTCCTGCAGAAGGGAAATCCTTTGCTCAAACATATAAGAAATGTGAGGTGGGCTTTTGCAGATGTTGTCTCTGACTACGTCTTGGGACAACAATCATGTGCTCTATATCTCAGGTTTCATCTCCATTTTAGTTCTTCTTAATGATCCCTCAATCACATAGGCTTTAGTTTCCAAAATTTTAAAGATTCTTTAACCTCACTCTTATAGGTTATCATATTCTCATTCTGATCATTATGATTATTTCCATGCAGTATTAGGTATCACCTGCTTCACCCGGACTACCTATATTTCAGAATAAGGGAATTGGGAAAAAATTTCAAGCTTCGTGTTGTTTTATGCCATATTGATGTTGTAAGATCTTGATATCAATAGTTGAATCTTTGATTTGTTTCTTTGGAATAAAGTATGAAATATAGCATATGTAGGTTTACACTTTTCAGTTACATAATCGAACAAAAATATTAATCATCTCAACCGCTGTTAATGATTCATCTTGGACAATTTAATTAAAATCGGATGAAAATGATGTGATTGATATAAATATGATCATGCGAATATAACTATGTGATTGATGAATCTTTTTGTTGTTTTATGTTTTAGGAGGATGTTGTAAAGCCATTGTTGGAAGTTACAAGAACAGCTCTACTTCATGACTGTACTCTTTTGTGTGGTTGGAGGTATCTTCCATTCTTCCTGTCTTAAATAAATATATTTTCCTTAATTTACAAACAATCCATGCTTCATTTTGTTTATTAAGATCATAAGTATCTGTATTTGTATTCTAAAGATGGACTAAACAATAATATCACATGTTCTAATGATTCTTGAGAGTGGCAATTCTAATGTTTTGGAATCATATTGTTGATTTGTTTTAGGAGTTATAAAATGAGTGAAAGACTCCAACTTTTATGTTACAAACACTTACAAAATTCATATGTCAATTGTTTCAGCTTGGAAGAATGTGGTCGATATCTGGAGACAATAAAAGTTTATGAAAACAAACCTGCAGACTTCATTCAAGGCCAAATGGATACAGACTATTTATCACGGGTAATATGCTCAAGTTCTTGTCTTTCTTTCAAGATTTTTTTATGGGATTTCTCTCTGCTAATTTTGGCTATAAAAAGATTTTCTTGATTGCATTAATGAACTTTGATTGCAGTTATCACACGCCCTAACATCAGTTCGACATGTCAACAAGACAGATGTGGTTACTCTGGGCTCTACATTTGGGGTACTTTAGTAATTTTTGAATGTGATTAAAGTTCAAGATAGTTTAGTAATTTTATATTAAATATCCAAAAAACTGATTACTTGCAGTCTCTTTCTCATATTATGGATGCTTCCATGGAGGATCTGGCTCGTTGCCCTGGCATTGGAGAACGAAAAGTATCTCTCTTTGCTCTTATAATACCATAATAGCAACATACTTATACTTCTTTGCTCATATTCTAATAGCAATATGTAACAAAGAAAGTCAAAACATTAGTAGGTTGCTATTATGAGTAAAAGTTGTATATATATAAGTATGTTGTTATTATTGTTAACATGTTTTCTCTTACTGTAAATGGTTTATTAGGTAAAACGTCTGTACGATACTTTCCATGAACCATTCAAACGCACGGTTTCTAAGCAGCATCCACCACCCGAAGCATCCGCCCAACCTTTCACTCCAAGTGAAACACAAGAAGACGAAAAAGTAGGAAGTTCAAGTAAACGCGATAAAAAAGAACCTAATTTATCCGTTAAATCAGCGCTTTCAGTAGCTTTCGCAAAATACAAGGAGAAAGTCGGCACAGAAAAATAAATAAAACAGAAAGTACAAGTACAAGTACAACCTGTTCTGTCATGTCATGAGCAAAGATTCAATTTATTTATTTGTTTCATTTCGTTGAATACAAATCAAGATTCTAGTGACATCTAAGATCTTGGGCTTACTCGTTTACTAAACCTAAAAGAACTAGAAGCACTCCCCGCAGATAAATTGTGTACTATTGGAATCAAGGATTGTACAACGTCTGTCATTAGAGGCCGATAATCGGCTTCAGTTTGCACACACATGGCTGCAATTGCGGCTACCTGTATAAACAAGACGTTGAGTTAGTTATTTGGTGACTTATTGTGGTTATGATTGTTTGGAAGCTAAGTTGAATCGAGACCTGAATTAGATCCTTTCTTGAATATTGACCATGTAGATTTGGATCAACCATTTCCACAACTTGAGCTCTATTTGTTAACCTTGGAAGAGCCTAATGTAGGAGTACAAGGTTTCAATTACGAGAAATATAAGGAAAGGATTGTATATAATATAACTTATTTTGACATTGCTCTCGTCCGAGCACGCTTAACCATGAAGTTTTGATGACAATTGGCGCCTCATGGTTTTAAAATGCGTCTTGGAGTGAGAGGTATCGTGTATCCACTCTTAAAAAAATAAAAAATCCAAAGTTGTTTGTCTTATCATGTCCTGTGTAACAAGTGGGTCCTATACGTAACTGAATATTCGTGAGTGTACTTACCCAAGAGACAAGGACATGTTCTCCAGGTGGTCGGTTTGTGTCGATAGGTACACGTCCCGTTAAGAGTTCTAGCAAAACGACGCCGTAGCTATAGACATCTGATTTGGTTGTAAGCTTTCCGGTTGAAGCATACCTAACATTGTCAAAAGTATAAAAACATGTATAATGTCAAACCTATATGATGACATGACAATTGACGTGATAGATAGATAAATGATGAACTCACTCAGGTGCCAGATATCCCGTGGTTCCCAAAACACGGGTCGAGATCAGACCGTTGAGTTTGTTTGATCCGATCTTGGCCAACCCAAAATCGGTGACCTTTCCTTGAAAATTTTCGTCTAACAAAATGTTTGTAGATTTAAAATCACGGTGTATGATAGATGGTGTGGTGTGTTCATGGAGGAACTCAAGTGCCTTTGCGGAATTGAGGGCGATTCTCATCCGGATGCCCCAAATCAGTGCTTGAGATCGTGCATCAGAAGAGTGGAGGTGATCGTGAAGAGTACCATTCGCCATGTATTCAAATACAAGGAGTCTGTGCTGATTATCAGCACAGTATCCAAGCAGGTCCACCAAGTGTGGACACTGTAGACGACTTAGTAAATCCACCTGCATTAAACAACACGTTTTTTAATAAAAAATAAAACTAAAATTAATGTCAAAATTTTGATTATATATACAATTCCACGCACAAATACAATATTTTATTTTAACAATTTAAAATAAAATGGTTGTAATTGTAATGAGACATCACATATACCTCGGACCGAAAAGCACGTTCGCCTTGCTTCCCTTCCCTGTGAAGCAATTTAATAGCACAAACGGTGCCGTCACGGAGTACCCCTCGGTAAACCATACCGAAACTACCCTTGCCCACAAGGTTAGCTTGGGTGAAGTTGCCCGTAGCTGATTCCAGCTCTTTATATGTGAATACTTGTACACCTCTAGATGTTGCTAATGGCAGGCTGCATGGGCTTCCTCCATAGATACACCCCCGCTTCCCATCTACCTCTCAAAATTAAAGATAAAATTATTCTCGTATTTTTTGTATTTTTTCCACTTAAATGAATAAAAATAATTATTAATTACATATTTGTCAGTGTTTTGGTACATAAAAATGATGGTATTCAGATTAATAAAAGCGGTAATTTAGTAAAATTAAATGGAGGTTAGATGTTGTAGACGTAGTTTACCTGGGCCACCATCGAATGTTATGATGCTATGAGAGATGAACATGCAATTTTGGTTGTGTTTGGTGTTTCCATTTGGTTTTGGAGATTTTACACGGCGGAGCAATGCTACAATTAGAGAAATTGCAAGGAGTAAAATGACAAGAACGATGGGGATGACAACCACAAGAATGGTGGATTCCGGGAGAATGTCACGGTGGTGGTGTTGGTGTTGTTGGTGGTGGTGGTGGTGTAAATGAGTGTGGTTTTCGTTGACATGCATTCTCGATGGCGGCTCTGTGTCTGTGGTGTTCGTCTCCATTTTCACTGAAACCGATAAAGATAGGAGAGAGATAGAAAGGGGAGGGGGGCTTAAACGGGGTTGGATGTAAAGAGTAGTGATAATTTATATAAGTGAGTATTTTTTTAAGGCATAAATGATTAATAACTTTTACCGCATAAAGTACAAGTGAACATTAAGATATTTATCATTTTTATTATGTTTTTAATAAATATATTTTATCACACTGATACATATATTAATACCGATTAAATTACACTGCCTAATGTAAATCATTAATGTAGTTTGGTAATTTTATTTTGTTCTAGTTGTACTTTAGGGAAATTGAGTAATCTAACTATTTTTTGATGTATTTTTGAAAAAAATAACCTTTATTATTCTTTACAAAATAACAATTGTATCTAAAATGAGTTATTCCGAAGTCCATTTTGGACTCCATGGCAGGTTGGGCCGGCCCATCAAAGACCCTCCGAAATGCCCATTCTGGAGTAATAGTACTTTTCCGAATTTCGATTTTCGATTTTCAAATTCATTTTCCGGATTATATTCGTATACATTTCGGATCTCGATTTTATCCTAGATCTTGAATTATAAACACATTCCGACACATTCTAGGCATGCTTTCCGGCATTCCAACACATTCCGACTCACATTCCGATCTCCGACTTAAGATATGGAAAACGATCACGATGACCTGGTTGTTTTACGAGTAAGTCCTTTACTCTTATACTCTTGGTAGTTTAGTTTGAAGATTTTTGTTTTTAGAAACTTCATCCGGAATGTGAAGTACATCTCTGGAATAAACTGCACGTTCAGGAGTAGCAAAACATGTTGATAATGCATTAGGACCAACCCCAACTAGTTTAATTATTTATATTAGGGTATTATACATAAAAAATTAGTATTCCGGAACAAAACAATACCATTCCGGAATGCGAGGAACTAGTCTGGAATATGAAGAACGTATCTGAAATACGAAGAACATGTCCAAAATGCGAGGAACTTGATATTTGCAACACGACAAAATTTTTGATGCATAAATTACACTTACATATAAATCCAAAGTCGTTGTGGATATTCTTGCGACACTCAGAGATAGACCGATATACGAGACTATGTTCCATAATTCATGTTTTGGAAGGTGGTTATATATTCCTAAGGTAGATAGGGATCATTTACTTCTACATTATGTGTTTTGCCACAAAGTTATCATGGACCCTCGAAGCGAAGTAGAGGAAATGGTTTTTGAGATTGGGGGTTACAAGTGTCTTTCAGAAAGAAATAATTTTATCTTCTCACCAGCTTCCACTTTGGTGACTATTTTCATGCCTTTGTTTTTGGTGTCACCTTCCATTCCCGTGTATTTCCTATGGCCGTAAGGAATGTCTTTGTGAAATTAGACGATGTGATTGATGTGTTTAAATGTTATTTTAATGAGTTATCGGACGAGGATGCGGTCCGTGTATGTCTTCTCTATATGTTAGAGAAGAGTTTCAATGGGCAGTTGGCTAAACAACATGTGACAGAGGGGTATTTCACTTTGCTATCCAACCTTGATGAATTCAACATATATTATGTCGTTAATTTATAATTATCATTACTAATATTTCTTTTACAAATTTAATTGTGAAATTTTTTATGTCGCAGATATCTACGGGGGAGGAAAATTTGAGATCAACTGTACTCACAACTATATACCGTATTCAACAAGGTTGAGTACCTCTTACATCCAGTCGAACCAAAAGCTAAACAACCTCAAAAATTGACATACACCCTAAACGGATTTATATACACTTTTAAGGTAAAATACATGATTAACAATTTAAGATTTTTTGTTGGATAATATTTTAATACATGGTTCTTTTAGATATGGATTCTTGAGAGTTTTCATGTGAGCAGTTTGTTTGGTACCCAACAACCAAATGTGATCTCTCGGATTGTTGCATGATCGAAACTGAGACCTTTACGTGCGGTTGAGTGCAACTAGTTTATAACATCAATGACATATGATTACTTATATATTTTACAATTTTCTTCTATATGTAAAATTTATGTTAATTTATAATAATATAATTTTGTTTGCAGGATAATAGACTTATACAGAAGTTAGAGCCGACAAAAGAGGAAAGTCATGCTGAATGGTGGATAGTTAGCTTCGCATGGGTTGATCGTCCTAATTTAGTAATTTACCTATCACAGATGTTCACAGGGCACATTCTCTAACATCATCACCCCAACACTCTCCTACCCATGATCCTCGACAAAAGAAGACACGAATAAATGTTGCATCTAACCCACCGGCACCACTACCGCCACCCACTGTACCATCAACTGATAATGACCGAATTATTACTAAATTTCGAGATAAGTTGAGGTCACATGAGATGCGTTTTTCAGAACATGATACAACTTTAGCCATTCTTCTAAAACTTATTAATAAGACACCCGAAGATGATGTTGGTACCTCAAAACGGGTGAATGTACATTGTTAATTATTTCACTCTGTAATGACCGTGTTTCTAGGCTAGGCATTAATATCGACATAATAGTCTAATTTAACCTTTGTAACTCATTTAGAAGAAATGAAAAGGAATTATGTGAATATTATGTGAAAAATTATGTGTTTTATGCTTAATTATTAGGGTTTAAAAATGAGCGTCAAAAATAAATATTAGATAAAGCTGATATCTATTAAAAAAGTTGTAGTGGTCGTGACAAGGATTACGGATATATAAAGAATGCCGAAATCCGAGTTATAACGAAGAAGTTATGACCTGTCGAAGTTTCGCGACAAAACCGGCACGGTGCCGAATGTCGTAAAAAGTGAGTTTTTGATAAACTACTTTTTAGCCTTAGTGATCTAAACGAAAGTTGTAGTGTTCGTTAAACTGAGAGTATGTATAAAAAGA